TGAGGGGGAGTGTTGAAATAATTTAGTTGTTGGTGTTAGGGTTTGTTTGGCTAGTTAAAGTGTTTTTTATTTCTATTTTTTCACTTCTGTTATGTTTGTTATTGTACTCACTTATAGCAGGGGCACAAGGGTCTTTTCCCTTCTTATTTCTGCCACCCTATATATATTATAAAAAAGCTGGCGCCACCAGCACTGTTATATTGCAAAATCTCTTTTCTTCTCTTCTCCCTTCTCTCTTCTTCTTCTCTGTTCTTCTCTTCCTCTTATTTCTGGCCAGCCATACTGTCAAGAATCTGCAAATTGCAAGTGTGTGAGTGGTACATTTTCCCTTCCAACCCTCCAACCTCTTATTAAATCCCTGGAATCTGCTCTAGAAACTAATCTCCCTAAAACTTCTGCAACCAACGTAAATAAATAAGGGGAAAGGGGATCTCCTTGTCTAATTCCTCTCAAAGTTGCATAGTTGACAAGGCGACGCCTAGGCGACAAGGCACCCTTTGAGGCTCACCTCGCCTAATCGCCAAGCAGTTTTCTACTTCCTACTATAAAATACTTTTTTATTCATTCTTTTTTGAGATTAAAATTATAAAATAGACATTATTAAACTAAAATAATCATCTTGTGTGTTTATATACTAATTTCTTTTTATTATTTTCTTATTTATTAGGGTTTAATCAAAATAAACATTGCTAAATGCTGTATTGAACCCTCAAAGACTTAAAAACCTGAACTAATAAGTAAGGAAGAACTTAAAATTTTATCTAATCAGCACATTTTCCTCTTCCATATATTATTTTTTTTCTTCTTCTTCTTCTTCTTCTTCTACCAATACTTTTTATTTTCTTCTTTTCCTATAACAAAAATAAGGGTTCAGCCCCTATATTTTTTGAATTTTATTTTCCTTCTTCCTTTTCTTCTCATGAATATGTTGGTTTTCTATTACCTTAATATGAAATTTATACTTTTTTATGAAAATCATGAATAATTATTAAAGAAATATGGTTATGGTACCTAGGGAACTACCCTAGGATCTATATTTTCAACATAAAAAATCCACCACCTAGGCGACTAGGTGACAAGGCGCCTCCCAGTCGCCTAGCCTAACCTTGGCGCCTTGAAAACTATTCAAAGCTAGAAAGAAATCTACCACTGTCAGTAATGGCAGTTCCTGATGAGCCAATCACCCACTTGCACCAATTGTCTCTGAGACCACACTGAGCTATCTCTTAGTATCAAATCCTAAATGTACCCTGATTTGCATTCCTATCAGTATTATATTTATATATTTACATTTTTTATAAATGATATTTATATATTTATATTGCATATATTCTATTTATCCCTACTTATTTTAACCCCCCCCCTTCTTTGAGTTGTTTTAAAACCCCTTGTTTCTGATAATAGTTAGTAAACTTAATTTAGCATTTAATCCTTCATTAGTTTCGTCAATTCATGCTATCCCATTAATAAACAAAGTAACTTTAGGCCATGCTCATCAAAATTTATCATCAGTAATGGAAAATCTAAGGTTTCTATCAACAGCTGCCTACCATGACACAAGATCCTATGCAATGCTTACCTGGGTAATCACATCATCAGGAATCGTGAGATTGGTATAGAACCCCACAAGTACCAGAACTTCCACTACGTGACAATTGCATACTAGCTTGGCACTCACACGGTTGAAAAACCAATGTTTCAGAACCAACCAACTAAAACAATATTCTTACAAAACTTTTATGTTTCAACCCCTAATTAGTTTTGCTGCAGCCAAAAAACCATTCTTAATTTCACAAGAATAAGCTCTCCATAATCTCCTATTCTGCTCTTGCTAGAATAATCCATCCTCTGCCAAAAATATGAGTGCTTTAAAATAAAGATATAAATAACAAAAATTACTAAACACTAGTAGGATATTATTGGTACAAATAAAAATCATATGGGGAGAGGACTTACTCAGATCATCAAGGGAGATATTCCCAACATCTTCTCCTGTTTTGATCAAACGTACCTTTCCTACAAGTAGTAATTGAAAGGAAACAAGTTTAGGAAATCTTGCTGAATCCAACAACTGAAGTATGATTTTAAAACAAGATTCAAGCTTCTACAATCTAGTGAATTAAACATGGATCTAGCAACTACTAACACCAAGGACTCACAAAAACATGAATAATAGAAAAAAAATAATAATACAGCATCCTCCTTATTGATATGGTAAGAGAATGGGGTAGAGAATGGAAATTGGAGATTTTCAGATTTAAGTACTTACATCCCCAAGAAAGATACTACATCCAGGTAGCTAATGAGTCTTCAGTCACTTGGCATTTGAGATATTCATCTAACCAGATTTAAGTTTAAACTTTGAGCCCTATGAGGGGGATGTAGATTGTGTTTTTCAAACATAAACCAGCTAGGGTTACAAATTATGAAAAGTTGCTGCACTTCAGCCCTCCCAAACGGGCGCAGAATCTAACACGTGTCCAAGAATCTGACTTGACAATATTAAAAAAATGGATTCTGGGACACATCCATAAAATAATATCACTAGTAAAAAGTTCATGTCATGTGTATTATATCAGCACATACCCACAGAGACGCATAAATAAACCTAAAAAGTTTATCCCTATAAGCTAGCATATACTATAATAAAAAGGTCAGTAATTATTACTTAGATGTTGCTGATCAAAAAAAATTATTACTTACATGTTCATTTGGCTCAGTTTGGAAGGAATACAAATACAAACATGTAGAGTGCAAAACCTTGTATTTTGTATTATTCTGCATGTATTTGCACCAATGTTTTAAAACGTGGAGGCGTGACGCGAGGCATTCCACTACCTAGAGGCACGAGGCATAGTTTAGAACATAAGAGGCGTAAGCCTCCTTAAGAGGAGGGGGGTCAAGAGGAAGAAGGAAGAGGAAGGGGAGGAGGAAGAAGAGGAAGGGGGGATCTTACTTTTTCTTTATTTGTAATAAAAATCTTTTATATTAAAAGGAATAAAGATGCACAGCACTAGTTGAAAGGGGGGTCTTGTCGAAGTGGAGGCGATAAGCGAAGTAAGACCCCCCCCCCTAACACATGCACAAAAAAAAAAACAAATTGAGCTGCATTAAAAAGGGGAATGGG